CTGGCCCAACCATGCTGACTCTCCCCTACTACCAAAATATCGAATTTCAAAAAGTTCGAATTATTATTTTGATCAAATTTTCATATTATTTTTTTCTTATTATTTTGTCTGATGTTACGAATTAATTGGGTAAGGTGCAATTAAATGAAATTAAATAATCTTCTAACCGTTCGTTTATTTGGTAACTTTTAGATACATTAACTCTGATATATCTAAAACAAAAAATGAAACGAAAGAACTCTTTTGTATATGCATATATATATATATATAAAATTGACATAATATTTATATATGTATAAGTTGTGTACAGTACAATGACAATAATAATCATAATAATAATAGTAATAATAATGATAATAACAATAATAATTTCGATTCGCTTAAGCAAAGGCTAAATCATTAGAAAAATACACAATATATGCGCGAATCTTTGTTAAAAAAGAAAATTTTTGCTTCTGAACTATATATATAATATATAAATTAATAAATTATTATTTTACTCGTATGTGAATTTTTTTTATGATGTGCATTGTATTTTTATTTTTATACAACTTGCGACAAATTTGCGAAAATTCGTTTCAAGTCGTTTTCTTTTATATATATATATATTATATTTATATGCACACTCCATATTGCAATTATAAATAATTATATATTTATTTACAGTTTTTTTTCATCAGCTTGTAGAAAAAAAATTCCCATCATTTTTATTGCCAAACGACAATATTCTTCATACATCGACTATATATATTTTTTTTTAACTATTTAATAAATATTTCGAAATTTGCTGGGAATTTTGTCGTTTCTACATAAGCAAAAAAAAAAAAATGACTCGACTCGAGTTTGTCGCTAATCTCGCATCACGGAAGATGATTTTATGAATATACACAATTGAATCAGTGATAAATTGGTTTTCTTTTTAATTTTGATTCTCTCATTTTTGGGCATATTGAAATTAGTGATTTTCAATTTATATTTTTTTTTACATTTTATATAATTAATGAATAATTTTTTTATTATTTATTATTTTATTATTACCATTGTTTTATTAACAAATTTTTTTTATATATTTTTCAATTAATAATTAATTATTAAAAAAATTGAAAAGTTAATAAAACAATAGGAATAATGAAATAATAAGGAACGACAAATTATAATAGATATTATTAAATTATTGTGAGTCTCGAGAAACAGATTTTATTTTATAAAAAAATGTTTTAAAAATATAAGTCAGCAGCGAAGAAAATGTTTCAACGAATATTTATTATTCAAAGCAAATGGAGTTTATTTCAGGTTCCTCTAACTATTTCAATGCTTTCAAGAAAGTTAAATATTTTAAAGTTCAGGTAGATTCTCATTTTTGACTTTTAGCATAGAAGAAGAAAAATAAATTCTTCAATCACATATTGAAAGACGTCGAATTTTTTTTTTAAATGCCGCACCACAGTTAATATTTTACTTATAATTTATTTAAAAAAAAGGAAATAAAGTCAGATCTGATTTCATGAGTTGAATTATGCATTAGACCAAAGTGGTCGATTTATCTGAGGTCGACTTTACCTTAGTAACTTTTAAAGTGGTGTAACTGACAAGAAGGAACAACGTAAGGTCTTTTTAACTCTTAAAAGATGGAATAAATTTTAATGCCTTGTATATGTCATTTCTGTTGGAAAGTTTAGCTTTTCTTTATTTATTTATTTTTTTTTTTTTAATGGAAATATAAATTTTTCTTTACATTTATTTTTGAAGAAAAATAATTCATATTTTCATTTTTCCACTTCTATTTATACATATAGCCTATATAATTTCCATTGAACATATATAATATATATTTGTAATACATTTTGTAATTCAATTACAAAATTATATATTTATATATATATTTACCATTTATTAATATAGAAAACTTATTTACAAAATTAATAGAGATTTTTTTTTTTTAAAGGAAATATATTTATGTTTATAATGGAAGTGGCTGAAAATCCAATTTACCACTGAATACAATCAATGTGTATGTGCGGTTTTCGTTGATATGTCTACTAAATTATCTGGAAACATTACATTATTGTACGATTTCAGCACGATATGAATCAACCATATGTCAAGTTGCAGCTCTTTTCATTTTCTCTTTTGAATTATCCATATATTTATTATTATTATTATTATTTATACACACAGAAAACAAATTTTCTGATTTTAATAATTTATGAACATTCTGTAAAAATTGTCGCTTCGCAAATATAGAGAGCTTTCATAGAGAAAAAGTCATTGAGTGTTTATTAAGTTTTTTTTTCAAAATAATTAAAATAAATTAGATTAATAGTAACAATTTTTAATTTACAAACAAATATATCTGCAATTAAAAAAAAATATTTTCCATTTTTATATTTAATTTAAAAAACAATTATTTTTAAAAAGTAAAAAGTAAACTTTGATAAAACCTAGTAAAAAATACTCGACAACTTTTTTAAAATGAAATTTCGTTTTTTTACGGTAATAAGAAATGATGTGCGTTTACATTGAGCGACCACATTTTTTTTTTATTTGCGATTAAACTTTAAAATTACATTTTATTAATACGGAGTACGAACTGTATAAAACAACTCATTTTAGTGCGCTTCGCACGCTGGCGATATTTTTCTAAAAAATTCGGTTTTTTTACCCTTCTTCATTATTATTATTATTATTATTATTATTTATTTATTTTTTTGTTATTATTAAAATATAAAATAATACTCAGAAAATTGAAGTCAAACTAAATTTTTTTTATAAATACGTAAAGATTCACGATAACGTGCACTCGACTTTATCGAGTATTTTCAACCACTTTGATTTCACGGGAGTTTTTCCATTCTTAAAACTCCGTCGAGAAAGTTTCACCCATTCCAACGTTTCATCTTCTGTCGTTTCAAAATTTTTTTTATTCTGTTCGATATTTTTTCTAAGAGATAGAAAAAAAAAGTCTGTAAGTTCCAGCGTAATTACGGCGCAACCGTTAAGTTAAATATGATGATAACGATCAGAAGGAGATAGAAAATGAGCACATACTTTTACGTAAACTTCCTCGAAGAGAAATTTCTTTTTTTTTTTTTTTTTTTTTAATTTTTCTTACGATTACGTATATAAAAAAGTTGAAAATGTATTCCAAATCTAGTAGTGATTTTGTGATATTATTTCTATTATATGATTTATTAAATATTCTGCATTTTTACAGTGAAAAAGCGTCTGTTTTTATGGGATAACATTAAAATTTTTTTTTAATATATTCACTATATATTGTCTCAAAAAGAATTTGATTTTTTAAATTTTGTTTTTAAAAAAGAATTTGTAGAGTTTCTAAAAAAAATTTTTTTTGAAAAGTTGGTAAAAAATGTTATATAGTCAATATAAAATTAATAATACCAGTCGTTAAATTGAAAATTTGATTAAAATTTATTGTCACTTGCTGACATGGACGAATTATTATTGTAAATATATCGTCCAGGTTTTGAAAAAGGTTTAAATTTTATATATATATATATTGCTTGCACGTTTATTGTAAATTTAATAATAATAATAAATTATGTTTGTGTATATATATATATGTATATATGTATATTGTATGAAAGTTTGATTAATCGCCAGCGTGCAGAACGCGGTAATAATTACAAATTAGCGACTCTAAATTTATACATTGTCTTTTATAACATTCAACACATTCTCTCATATATTTTATGTTCATACAGTTTCGCACTTTCATTATTTAGTTTTATCATGCGGTTTGCATGATCAGGAACGGATCCGGATTTGTGTTAAAGGGCGGGTCTTATATATTTATATAATCTCCAAGGGAACAGATTGCCAAAGAGTATTTTACATGAGAAATTATTCAATAATTATAATCACTTTTACAATAGTTTACAATTAATTATCATCAATATAACAAAGAATCCGCCCTTAGATTAAAAAGAAGAGAGAGACTATAAAATCTCTTTTTGTTCTACAATTATTTTTCTCATTAACTAGGCCATTATGCTCTCACTCTTTTTTTTAACGGATTCACCAATGAACGCTTATTTTCATTCTTATTTTCCGTTTTATTATAATAATTCGTTATTTTATTTTTTTTTTTACCGATAATTAGGTTAATCAGTTACTGAGTTAGGCGCATTGATTATTCGCTAGCGTTTCTTTTTCTTCAATATATATATATACTTCATTTTTTCAAATACTGCTTATTTCTTCGAACCCATTCACTTATTAATAACCTTCACAATTTGAAATATCATTTCCTGGATGGCTTCGAATCGATTATCGTTATATTCATTATATCGTTACCCCTGGACACTCGCATATCTATATTTATACTTTCTTACGTTAAAAAGTCGTTGGCTCGCGAATGTGTTTGAGATTTTCGACAAAGATCACGGATAATATTTTTTGAATATAATCGAATTTAAGAAAATAATCTAATTTGATTTGTCATCTGATTTATAAACAGTAATCGATAATATTAAAATATTATTTAATAAATTAATAGTTAATATTATATTATATATAATAATAGTTAATACATTTGTTTAATGTTTGAAAGTACCAATTTACAGGAAGAGTTACATTTTTTTTTGTATTTACGTTATTTTATGTGAAAAATAGTTTAAAATATTTATTAATAATTATTAATATATATTAATTAAATTATTAGATAAAAAAAATAAACGAGTATATTTAATAACAAACTGCAAATAATATTAATAAATAAGATAAAATATAAAAATTGTCCTTTAATCTGTATACTCTTATCTTTCTCATTACTCTGATTATTATTAATAAAAATTAATCTAATGAATTTGCTGTTCATTTGCGAGAAACAAAATTATCATAATTGTTTTAAAGATAATGTAATAAATGAATGTAACGAATAATCAGATCTGAGTAAAATATAAATAAGATAATAATTCACTGTAATTGTAAATAATGTCTAAAAAAACTACATTATTAAATTATAAAGGTTTCTTTAAATTATTATTTACTTTTAATAATTGTTATTATTAATTAAAATATTAATTATTATTAATACTTTCTTAATATTAAATTTTATTATTAAAAAAAAAACTAAATAAATACAGCGTTTCTCTTATAAAATCACAAGAAAAATAAGATTTTTAAGATACAGTAAATAAAAATTAAGAATCAATAAAAAAAGACACAGGAATTCTTGAAAGTCATAAAGAAATAAAATATAAATTTATTTTTGTATTAAAAAAATTTTTTAAATATACTATTAAAATAATACAAACTCTTCCTTTGTGAAAAAGAAAGAGAAATTAAAAAGAAATATATTTTAAAAAAATTAGATTAAAAACGTAAAATATTTCCGAAAAGTGTTAAATTAATTTTCTTGAAAAGAACAAAAAAAAAAAAAAAAATAGAAAAGATTACGATTTTTCGTAAAAAAACAAAAAAATAAAAATAATAATGAGGTACGAGTTGTGTGACTCAAAATAAAATATTTTTAAACCTCCTCATCGTGATCTTTGTACTGTGTTTTTTTCTTTTCAATTTTGAATCACAAAGCGGCCGCCCGATCTGATAATTTTCATCGATTTTTGTTTTTCTCTTCAATTATTATTATTATTTATATCGATTTTTTTTCTTTTTCTAGTGTAAAAAGACGCTAGTTACAGACCTAGTTGTGTGAGGAGGTAGATCGGGGGCCTCAAGAGGGGCCCCCTCGTACCCCTATGCAGTCAATCCAAGGCGATGTATCTTCGCAGAGAGAAAGTTATGCAAAACGAATACTATTGGCTTCGGACAGCTTTCTAGGTCCAATTCCTTTAATCAAAAAAAAAAAAATTTTTTCTTAAAATATTTTTTATATTTATTATATTTTTTTGTTATCTTGTCTCATAAAAATTATTATTATTATTATTATTATTATTACTATTATATTATTATTTTACTATACCAATATTTACTATTAACAATAATAATAATAATAATATGATGAAACACTTGCAAACTTTGAAATCATCAAGAGTTCGCTTTTGTCTGACTAAATTCAGTTATTACTACTGAGAAATTCTATACAACGACGAGTGTTTCCTTGTCTGACTAAATTAAACTTTTACTACTGAATTACTACTAAATTCGTAACCTGTTATTTGATTACTAAAAATGAAAATTAAAAAAATAATATTTTATAAACAAAAATAACAGTTTATAAAAATTGCGTTTTTCATTTTATCTTTTAAAAAATCGTTTTATTTCTAATTCATTCATTTATTTACTAAACTAATTTTTTTTAAAAATTTTATTAAAAAATTTTATTAAAAATTTTTTTAGAAAAAAATACGTATAACACTTTTTTTTGCAGAGAAGGAAAAGAAAAATTTATCCGAATTTAAAATATCATAGGTAAATTTCACATGGAATCGCCAATATTTATTTATATAAAAATTGTTTCAAATTGTGAATTTAATAAACTAAATAAAATATTCCTGATAAATAAAGTTTTTAATTTCAATTAATTTTCGAAATGATTGATTATATATAAAGTGATTATAGTAGAAATTAGTATACTATAATTTCACGTAAAATTCAAATTAATAGAAACTCAAGTTTTGAAATTAATTTGTTTGAAAATAATATATAGACTTACAATTTCACCGTCTTCACCGCCAAAATCAAGCCAGAGGAGTCTTGCACCATCATCAGCTGACATTTTGAGTTTGTCAAAAGATCTTCGCCACAGAGGAGTAGGTGGTGAACCAGGACTGACACCAGATCCAGTAACACCTCTTGCTCCAGCCGCATAGAGGGTGAAACCATCTTCGTGGTTGACAATTAGTTGACAAGCTCTTCCTTGCCAGACACATCCTAATAAACACAAAATACAGTTATAGAAATAAATAAATCAATTAAAATAGAAAAAATTTTAGTTGTCCTAATAAATAAGCTATTAACTAAATTTACATTAAAATTTATCCTAAAAAATAATATAAAATTAAAAATTAAAAAAAATTTATGATTACAAATTATTTAAAATTGTTTTTGAAAATTAATTTCATGTAAAACTATATAGAGGAGAGTGACAAACAGTGGGACAGTTTAAACAGTAGGACACTTTAATTTTCTGAAAAACTACTTAAAGAAACTCGATCAAAATTTAAATGTAAACCATGTTTATGACAACACATTATCTCCAAAAATTTTAGCCACACTGATTCATTATTTACAAAGAAAATTGAAAAAAACTATTGTTGACGTACCAGAGTAAATTTTTTCTTGAAATACAATGCTGATTTTTATATAGATAGGACAGTTTTAAAAAAAGTGTAATTGTTACTTCGTTTACTCATGTTTTTAAGTATAATATCCAATAATTTAAAATATTTTTAAATTTCACAAACAATTTTTATGTAAATAATTTCTTGCGATTGCTTAATTTTAACAGTGGGACATTAAACACTGGGACAAGCAAAAATTTAAGTTTATGAAATGTGGATTTTGGCAACACTGATTATAAGTTGTGTCAGCTATACGCATGCGCATTTATACTTACACAGCGACTAAAAATGTGATTTTTTTATGCTAAAAAACCATAAAAAATTCAAAATTTATAATTAATAATTATTGCAATTATTGTTCGACAACATTTAAAAAGTAACACTTGATAAGAGAACGACTATTCAAATTTTCCTCCAAATTATTTTTAGGTTATGACAAAATTATGACGTATGATCAGCAGTACTGTAAACGTGAAAAAAAATAATAGCAATTTTTTATATGAAACTTGACATCGTATTATAAAAATGTAAATATTATATTAAATTATGAGTGTTTTGCAACATTTGATAACGTTATTTAATGCAAAATATATATATTTACAAAGTTTGAAGCAAAATATTATTATTTAAATAATTATTCGGTTCTTAATAATAGGTGTCCCACTGTTAAACACAAACCTTCAAAACAAGAAAAATGTATCAAGTATGAAAAACTTCAAATTTTTTTATTTAATCACAATATAATCTTAATAGAATATGTGCATTGTGTAGAAAAGAGTTCAAACTTTATGGTAATACCAAAAAGTCTTCAAAAATAAATAAAATTGACATATTAATATGTCTTTGAAAAAAAAGTGTCCCACTGTTTTTCTCTCTCCCCTATATATATATATATATATATATATATATAAACGAACAATTAATTATGCAAATTTATACAATTTTAATGATCTCTTATGTGTCTGTGTGTTTTATTTCAAGGCATTCCTTTCATTTCTAAAAAGCCTAATTAACTCTGAGAAAATAATTAAGTGAAAAGGCAAGTTTTTAATTAATGAAGATCAGTCTCCTTAAGTTTTGGCTTCCTTCATTTTAGAATTTTTTCCATTTAGTTTTTTTCCTTTACAAGAGTAAAAAAACAAAATTCCTTTAGACTTTAATTGCCAGAGAGTACTGCGCAGAGAAGGTGTTTTTGAAAAAAAAATTAATTGACATCATTTTGTCAAAAGGAGATTTTTCATTGAAAGATCTTTTGGAAAATAATGTTAAATTAGAAGCCATTAGTGCTGAAATTTTTCAAGAATATCCAATGACTTCAATCTTTTACTAATTTTGTGTTTACATTTTATTTTACTGTTTCTTTAATTATTTATTAATTATTGATTTTTTTATTAATGTGTTTATATAATAATAGTATTATATTTGAATATTTGTATGATATTATAATTATTATTATTAGAATAATTAATAAACAATAAACTCATTGACAATATTTTTGTTATGATAATTAGAAAAATTTTCAAAATTTAATTTAATTTTAAATTCAATTTAACACTCTTTTCTTGTTTTGCCAATCAAATTTTAAAAATTTGCAAATTGTAGAATAACAATATTAAAAAGAGAATGGAACAATGTCTATAATGCAATCATATTGAAATCGCAACAAATTTCAAAAGTTTGTTAAAAAAAAAAAAAAGAAAAAATATATAATGAAAATAAATCCTTTGGTTATAGAGTTCTATTTATTACATATAGCCTCAGAAAAGAGGAATTGAGTTTCATCGAGTTGAATTCATCAGTCCATTTCAAACGAGTAGAACACACATCTCCTTGCACAGATATTTATAAAGAACCAAAGTTCTCCAATCCGATTTTGTATCAAAGCCATTCATTTTTTTTCTTGCTACGCCTGTTTTCTTTTGAGTTAAACAAATTTTTTTTTTTACTTTACACGAGAGACGTTTCTTTTCTTCTTCGTTTATTATATATATACATTTGTTAACAATTTATATTTTGCAATTATTTGCAGTCATAAATAAAAAAATTTTTTCTCGTGATTCATTTTACCCATTTTATGAAATTAAAAATGGTTTTTATTAGTAGAAAATCTAACCTTAATATCACCATCATGCAATATTTTCCATATCTTTTGTAAGTTTGTAATGCAATATTGCAGAAATAATTTTAAATTCACAAAATAACAACTAATCGATTGTAAATCATTGATATTTTAGTGTTACTGATGATGATCAACGTGATGTGATCGAAAAGCTTTTAATTATGAAGAATATATATTTTATACATTGACTTGACATGAAACTTATAAAATTTACACCTATACCTATGATAATTAAATAATTATTGTTAATTAATTTAATTTTTATTAAATGGAATAAAAATATATTAAAAATAAAAAAAAATGTTCTTTAAAAAAATTTTAAACACCTCTGGTTTCCGTTACAAAACTGGCCTCGTTAAAATTTATCAACAACATAATAATTAAAAACGGATATAAAATATTTTTCAACAATAAAAAATTTTGTTCATCTAAAAATTTCAGAATCTTATTTTGATCACTCGAGGAGTAAAAAAAAAAGATTAAATATTGAAAATTAAATTTTTTTATTTTAGGTAATCTGTATGAGAATTTATGACTAAAATTTAAAATATTAGAATTTTTTGACATTATAAATATTGTTTTTATACTATAAATATTTTTAAAGAAAATTTTATACTCTCATTTTAATTATAATAATATTCAAAAAGAATAGTAATAAATTGCAAAAAATAATTTTATCAAAAATAATAAAAAAAATATATACTTACGGACTGTGTATTCACGAAGGGAAAGTGCCGCAGTATGACAGCCTTGAACAATGGCTCTGGCCCACGCAGCTAAATCTCTTCTGGTTTCTGCCCGTAGATTGTGGGTTATTACCCCATCAATGGTACCAACCCTGACGGCGAATGTCGCTCCATGATGGGACGTCGAATTACTTGACGAGGCCTCATTTTGTCTCGTTGTTGAAGAAACGAGTCTGGAAAAAAAAATTTAGAAAAAAAAAAATTATTACTTTCACCTCCGTAAAACATGAAAAATCTCTTCTTTCTTTCTCTCCTTGTCTTAAAAATAGAATAAAATCGAAAAATAAATAAATTTATGTCACAATTTTTTTTTCTTCTGTAGCCAAATATATTCCTTCTTCTTTTTTACTAAGAGAAATTTTTTATTTAAGTTTATTTGAATTAAATAAAAATTTATTTGAATCAAGTAAAAAAATATTTTTCTCAAAGAATAACTTTATATTTATTTTATAAATAAAAAATTTTATTTAGAGAAAATGAAATTTATTTGAAACAAAAATAAGTATTTATTTTTGGCTCTGAGACTATCTTTCTCTTTAGGTGTTAGATTAAAATTCTTGAATTTTAATAATTAAGATCCTTGAAAAATTAATAATAGAATTTTAATTTTAGTTTTTGAATAGATTACTTTCATATTAAAATATTTATTCTTATATTCATTCATTTAATAAAAGTCCATTGCACGTTCCTTTAACAAAAAAATATTCATCATTCATTAAATTGGAAAAAAATTTCAACGAATCGAAAAAGAAAAGTTTTTTTTTTTTTTAATTCTTTCTAAATTATTATTCATATGCTATGAGAATAATAGTTTAGGGGAAAAAAAGGCAAAATGAAAGGCCTTCTTTCATTTCGATTGATTGTGGCATGCGATTTGTGTGAAGTGAATTTATAAATATTGTAAAAACAAAAAAAAGAGAGAAAAGGGAGATGGAAAAAAAGAGAAACGACAAAAAAAACGAATGGCCCGCAAAGTCGGTAACGTGCGGCACTCCTAGTATATAGATTTTGAATAACACCAGTTGGTGTATGTGTACACGAGTCAGCGTATAACATACGAGGTCCAAAGGGAACGATTGGCTTTGAGTGGCCCCTCTGGATTTCAGCCAATAACCCTGTTATTCGTATTCGCAGCTGTATGCGTATTTGGACACACGTTTCTACTTCAATTCTTGTGTTCATGGAAGTCACATTCGTATACAAAAGGCACTCACTTTCCTTGTGTCGACATTGGCAGCTTTACCCGTTTGTTTGCACAGACTTAAAGGGTCTATACGACGTAGTTTGCGGCAAAACAATACATCTCTCAAACTACGACCCACTTGCGGATTTACTTTACGACCCCCTACTCACCTATATACGCGGCCAAAAAAAGGAAAATCATATTGCAATACATTTCATCAAAATAAAACAAAAAAAACACATGTAACATAATCGTTCAGCCGTAAAATTATTAATGACGAAATATTAAAAAAAAAAAAATCGTATTTTTAAAAACTTAATTTAAATCTTCTTATATTTTATAATGGACCTAATACGGCCACCCAATACACCGGAAAAATTTAAAATTGATTCGATTCGTTCAAAATTCGATATTTGGGTGTTTTTTGGGTCGCTAAATTCAAATTTAAGGTCAAATTTAGATTCAGCGACCCCAAAAACCCCCGAAAACAAAATTTTGAACGAATCGAATCAATTTTAAATTTTTCCGCCATATTGGGTCCGCCATTTTTAATTTTTTAAATCTTACCTCAAACTTGGATTCAGCAACCCCGAAAACCCTCGAATACCGAATTTGAAACGAATCGAATTAATTTTAAATTTTTCCGCCATATTGGGTCCGCCATTTTGAATTTTTTAAATCTGACGTCAAATTTGGATTTAGCGATCCCAAAAACCCTAAAGGAACCATTTTTATGCATATCTAGTCAAATGTTAAATTTTTTGACGCCATATTGGGAGCGATTATCTCTGAAATTTTTTTATTCGAAAATTTTTCCCACGAATTTTTGAGTGCAGCTCAGCATCCGCTGGACCAATCAAAAAGTGCGCCATACATTTTTTGTTCAGAACTTTTTGACTATTTTTTTGGTGGTATTCCCGAGCGATTATTTCTGAAATTTTTTTTATCGAAAATTTTTCCCACGAATTTTTGAGTGTAGCTCAGCATCAAAAAGTGCGCCATACATTTTTTGTTCGAGACTTTTTGCTCAATTTTTTGGCATTATTCCCGAGCGATTATCTCTGAAATTTTTTTTTTCGAAAATTTTTCCCACGATTTTTTGAGTGTAGCTCAGCATCCGCTGGACCAATCAAAAAGTGCGCCATACATTTTTTGTTCGAGACTTTTTGCTCAATTTTTTTGCATTATTCCCGAGCGATTATCTCTAAAAATTTTTTTTTCGAAAATTTTTCCCACGATTTTTTGAGTGCAGCTCAGCATCCGCTGGACCAATCAAAAAGTGCGCCATACATTTTTTGTTCAGAACTTTTTGACTATTTTTTTGGTGATACATATTCCCGAGCGATTATCTCTGAAATTTTTTTTTTCGAAAATTTTTCCCACGATTTTTTGAGTGTAACTCAGCATCCGCTGGACCAATCAAAAAGTGCGCCATACATTTTTTGTTCGAGACTTTTTGCTCAATTTTTTGGCATTATTCCCGAGCGATTATTTCTGAAATTTTTTTTTTCGAAAATTTTTCCCACGATTTTTTGAGTGTAGCTCAGCATCCGCTGGACCAATCAAAAAGTGCGCCATACATTTTTTGGTCAGAACTTTTTGACTATTTTTTTGGTGGTACATATTCCCGAGCGATTATTTCTGAAATTTTTTTTTTCGAAAATTTTTCCCACGATTTTTTGAGTGTAACTCAGCATCCGCTGGACCAATCAGAAAGTGCGCCATACATTTTTTGTTCAGAATTTTTTGACTAGTAGCGGAAAAATTTTAAATTGATTCGATTCGTTCAAAATTCGATATTTGGGTGTTTTTTAGGTCGCTAAATTCAAATTTAAGGTCAAATTTAGATTCAGCGACCCCAAAAACCCCCGAAAACCAAATTTTGAACGAATCTAATCAATTTTTAAATTTATCCGCCATATTGGGTCCGCCATTTTTAATTTTTTAAATCTGACGTTAAATTGTGGATTTAGCGATCCCAAAAACCCTAAAGGAACCATTTTTATGTATATCTAGTCAAATGGTAAATTTTTTTTGACGCCATATTGGGTCCGCCATTTTGAATTTTTTAAATCTGACCTCAAATTTGGATTCAACGACTCCGAAAACCTTAGTATATTCATCGACACTCAAATCGAATTATATTTAGTATTTTTTTTCTAATGTGGACATATATGTATGTCAATTGATTCTAACCTTAAATTTGCTATGAAATCACTCAGTGCGAATTTACTAGCATGCATGCGACTCTTTATGTTTGCACTATTCAAGCATTTTGTTATATGGATGATTTTTAAATTGAAAATAAGAATATATAAATACTAATATTTATGTCTTCATTAGATCCAAAACATTCTATAGAAACTGATTTTTATTTTACATAATTAAAAATGAATATTTAATCAAGCTGAAAGTTATCACTAAACATAACCTAAAATTTTTTTTCTATTAAGGTCCCTTTTCTCGTGGAACGTCATATATATTCATTTCATGAATTCAATATCGAAGATTTTTTGTCATTAAAATTACGTCTACATTTAAAAATTATGAAAAATCCAGATTTTTAAAAATTTATAATTCGAAAATATATAAGCAATTATTAAAAAAAAAGTATAAATGATTGAATGAAAAAAACTATCTTTAAATGATTAATTTCTTTTCATCATTTACCGCAGCCACAAAATTAGCAACTTTCATTGAATTATTTATTACAGAGAGCGCTGTCGATAATCTGTCCGACAGTCTGAGTCACTAAACTTGAGAAAAAGAAAATAGATAAAAAGGGAAGAGAAAAAAAAGAAGCAGACAGGAGAAAACCTCAGTCAGTAAATAAGAGCGTTAAACGAGAATAGATGGTCGATCGTCGCCGTAATCCGCGAAAAAAAAGAATAAGACGGAAAATAAGACAAAGTATAGAAAAGGAGTAGGGTCCAAAAGAGAAAAAATAGATTCAGACGAAAGAGATAGAGAGTGAGATGAGGGGTAGGTGGGGAGAGGAGAAACTTTCTTTGGAGTGGAATCACTTCCGGTTTGTCTCGCAGTAAAACTTCCTTAAGTCGGCTATTCTGTATTTTCCACCCAGTAGCTTTTCGGGGCCTGATATTGGACCCCTTCAACTGGAAATACCTTCTCTAGGGAGGGGGATGAAGTCTTTTTTATTATCGCTCCTTCTGCCTTACTGAGACTCGAAAGATTTACTATTGACGTCAACTTTAAACAAAAAATTTATCTTCAAGTCACACTACTTGGGCCTCGATTTTTATCCGTTTCACTTTTTTTTAAGCTTCTATATAAGTTTTCTCAGAAGTTCAGCTTCAGAATGATATAAATTGAAATTCAATGTTTATAGGTATCTCAATAAAGTTTTCTATAAATTTTGTTGATCTCACAATTCACAGGGATATGTTTTAAATTCAAGTTTCCCGTTATGAAAATTTTTTGTAAATAATAAATAAAAAAAAGAGAAACTATTTCTTTATAAATAAAAACAAGTTGTAAATTCAGATGTTCATTACATGAACATTTTGCTTCCTCTTTATGATCAGCAAAAAAATTTGCTTCCTCGTGGAGAAAGCAAAATTTTATTGCTAAAATGTGAATTTTTGATTTTTTAACTTTCATTAATTCTTTAAATTTACCTCAAATGTATACTTTATATATATATATATCGATCGATTCGTCTTGACTTAAGGAATACAATTATTTCATATATAAACTTCAATTTAAAAAATCATAAAATTTTATAGCCAAAATGTGAATTTTTGATTTTTTAACTTTCATTAATTCTTTAAATTTACCTTAAATGTATACTTTATATATATCGATCGATTCGTCTTGACATAAGGAATACGATTATATTATATATAACCTTAAATTTTTCTACTTAAAAATTTTTTTGAAAAAAGACGATAAAAATTTTTTTTTGAGGTATTTTTAAAAATCCTTTGGTCAGATTTGAGATATTAATATGATAAATGAGGCTACCAAATT